CTTATTGACAATATCCACATGTTCACTTATTATTTTCACAAATATCATTGTTCACACTTACCATTACATAACCTACATACAACGTCGACCATCCGATGCGGAAGGGATAGGGGCTTCAAATCAAGATGATGGTAATATTAAAGAAGAAAAGTTTTTCTAAGGTCTGAATACCTAACGCTTATCCAAAAAATAATGATAGCAGATAGCCAAAGCTCCTCGAGTCTTAATAGCCGAAAGAAAAGAAAACATCCCCATTTCCTTAGTGGATTTGTGCCCGTCCTACCTAGACGAAAGGCTACTGGGGGTAGTAGTAGTAGTATCGCGCAGGGATCAACACTTTTAGCGCCTCTGTCACCTGATACCGGTGAACCTAGTTCTCCTGGAGTAGGAACTGCAATAATCTCATAATTTCTTCCGGATTATGCAATATTTTATGTAATCTCTAGGGAAGATTGCACATCGCACCATAATCTTGTTTTTAATAATGGCTAATCAAATTCAACATGAACGGAAAACGACGGCGAGATGTATTTCACAATAAAACTACGCACCGGGGTTACTATATAAAGACATAATTCACTTGTCCTGTCAATAAATCACGTAAACTGTTTATGCTAACATCATACCTCCACATGAGGTCCTTATCCCTGCCAATTTGCACCGGAAGCTGGATCCACGCGGGCGTGGCTCCGTGGTTATGAATATTTCTGTGTTTATCCGAGAAGGTTAACGGCCGACAAAGAAAGTTTTATTCTTGACTCAATCTTGTTTTTAGAATAGATGAATGACAATCTTAAATTCATACTCAATGTCTGGATGCGAGAAAGTGTTATATGTTTATCTCTCACTGTAATGATAAACGTTAAGTACTCTAATATTATACTTTATGAAAAAGACAATATACTTTAAATTCTGAAGATAACACTGAATAGCTTAACTTCAGTAATACACATGAGATCTTCTCCACCTCCTTCGATCACATAATCAGCACATTCAGGTACTCCTTCATCCTTCTGCAATGATACATAAAGCTTTCTTCGTTAGTAAGTCTTCGAGCAATGGCAAGTGGTGCATATATAATAGATGAAATAATTGACCACGAGTGACTTCATTGGCTTCAGTCATTATTTTGATATTTGTCAATGTTAGAATAATGTTTACTACACGATGTTTAAGTGCCTAATTGTTATCAGTTCCTCAAAACTATATAGGAAAAATTAGACACTGTACTGCCTTGTTTCGCAAGAAACAAAAACAATCCATACCCGGACAAAAAACTGCTTTATGTTAATAATAACCCTACAATGACTTTATACTTGCGAAGAATGTTTTTTGGTTTTGCTTATTTTGCTTTTTGAGGTCCTCAATAAACTCTGCTGAGTTTTGTCGCTGAAGAAATAACAAAACCAATACTACAAAATTCTTTCTTAATAAAATCAAGAAAGCCTGTAGTCGATGAGTTCTTTTATTATATATTTAATCACATTTCCATAGCATGAGTTTACATTTCTTCCATTATCGCTGAGAAACGGGAAGCGTGTGAAGAAAGATAAAAGTATACTCAGTCATTGTTTCAGAATCTTTTGTTGGCTCCAAGAATGATGTGCTTTTATAATTCTATTAGTGTTAATCACGTATGACGTAATGTCGCAAAAATTTTTGACCAATGAATTTGATGTGCTAGCTACATACAGTATAATAGATTGTGAGGAGTACAGTACATTTAAAAAAATTCTTATTAAAAAAAGTAAATAAATAATCCAATAATTTTCTTTCTCATAATCTTAAGCGGTTTCGATTCCAAGATTTACCTGTCCATTAATACTTTCCCTTTAGTAAGAAATTTTATTGGCATAATTTACGATATATTATTCCGCCTTAATACTCAATTGCGGCAATACTTTTAGCCATTGGCAAAGAATTATCGGCATGGTTAAATAGGTTATTGGAATGTGGTTTTAACCAATAACTTCTTTCTTATATAACAAAAACTCTAATCTTCTTGGAAAGTCGAATGTCAACCCCATGCTGGTATTTTTAACAAAGATGACTTGTGAGAATCTGAACAAATTTAACCACTTCTATTAAATATCATCCCCAACTGCATGGCTATTACTACTATTGATCTCCTTGAAATGATCTATATCAAGAAATATCTACTGTAAATTTAACTCTGCCTTTTTTATTTTGCATTGCATTATTAAATTCATTATATGTTTCGGCTGGAAGACATAACAAAAAACCACGTCCCGTCTTCTTCTTTTATATGTTGGGTTATTGTTTAATTTCTTTATAATCAGAATCTTGAAATACATGACCAAAGTCGCGTCTATATGAAAACCATTTGTTGGACATTTTGTAAACTTAAAATTCGCTGGCGTTCTCTCATTCTAGTAAATTAAGCTTTACCACATGATATTTTCCAATTTCCTATAATATCATTCCTAGACTGCAATTGTTATGTTATTCATAATTACGAAAATGTATCGCATCCATAGAAATATTCGACGTTTCAAATGCGTTTTTAAACTATAGAGGGAACAAAGCCTATAATTATTATTTTGCCAATATGGTATATTTATATTTGAAATACTAAAATATCATAGAGTAATAAATGTTTAAAATTCTGATCTAAAAAGATAATAACATATAATATGCTAGTGTAAATCTTTGTAGAAATATCGAAATAATTTCTTTGTTGATATAATAAAAATCAATTGAATTTAGAATTTCAATCTTTTTAAATATTTAATCTGTGAAATCGATTCAATCTTAAAAAATAAAGTTTTACTTTTCGTACAGCTTTTGACTAATAATGATAATATTAAGTATACAGTATGATCTTTTTTAATTAATCTTATG